TGACATAATAACGCTATATTTGGCGCTGCTTCATCATACAGTAGTTCCTGGTTCTGTTGACACTCATGTTGACTCACGTGAGCCACCTGCTGGTGCATGTGCAAATAACACCCGTCTACAATTATTCTCCGCAAACGCGGGATGAGACGCTGCTACAGTTAATTAATTACGATGCTTCCTGCAGGGAAAAACGTTTTCATGTCTCATGAAATTTCAGTTATTTTGTTTTCAAAAAGGATAAAGGAAATAACAGTTGTACAGTGTAAGCTATGCATGAAGACTCTTGATTTAACAAAGGCTACTCAAACAACTTGATTTCCATGCTAGTAAATGTTCATGTTAGCTAAAATGTAGTGTTTGTTAGTGATTTAAAATTCCATGGTGTGCATGACTGCAGCTGTGTGTAAGTTTACTAGTGGAAAATGTAGAAAATTACACGTAGAGTAAAATGTAGAGTCCCCACACCCCGGATCAGTCAATGAAATACTATGCATGAAGACTCTTGCTTTAACAAAGGCTACTCAAACAACTTTTGCAGGTAGGACTAGCATGGAAATCATTATGTTAGCTAAATATAAATATATGTATATGGTGTAATTTTTTTAATGTTGTGAATAGACTATATTTATTTTTACTTGTACATTTTAAAGAAATAAAAAATAATAATAAAAATAAAACTGTAATACTACACTGTATCGCCACTAGAAAGACATCATTCCTTCCGTGTTTGTCCGTAGCAGTGACGTCACGCACCGTCAATCGAATCATAATCATTACAATATGTTCCAATCAAAGAACATCAGATCATTGACAGTAACCTACTGTAAAACACCAAAAGTACATATTCATGTTTCATAGAATATATATTTTGGAGTAGCCTACCATGTAAATACAATAGGACATGAAAACACCATAGTAGGCCTATAGGTTAAATGGTGAATTTGAGGATGTTTATGTTTTTGAAAAAACTTTGCCCATGCTTAAATACATTCTTAACCTACAACAAAGGCATACTTGTATATAGTTTTAGGATACGTGCTCTTTTACCGTTTTTTGGTTTTGTTTGTCCTTATTTAAGGGTTTGTGTACTTGTATGCTAAGTTGCAATAATGCAATGATGTATTTTTCTGTTCATGTCTATATGCATATTTATGAATCGCGTTGTTGTAGATTTGATATGTTAGCAATTATAAGGACAGCTTTCTGGCCTACTGTCATATTAACACATTTTTAAACAGTACATATTATAAATATTTATCCCAGTAAGAATGTTTTTTGTTTGTTTGTTTGTTGCTTACAAACTGTGGAGAAATTTTCTTTAGTAACTGGCAGCATAACAGAGATACTGACCATTTCTTTAACACCATGCTACCTAAAGGAAGTTTTGGCTTAAAGGGAACAAGTATCATACTTGGCACCAAGATACCTGTGTGTCCTAAGAACAAGCTGAGAAGTTGTTTACTTGAAGTATGCAACCTCTCAGCTTGTTCTCAGGACACAGGTATCTTGGTGCCACACAAACATATTCCACCCAGCTGTGTTTATTATGGATAAGTAGCCCTGTGGCAGCTGTCAGACAGCACTGCTAACCCACTTCATTTTCCAAAACAGCATACGCTCTCTTTTTTGCCATTTGAGAAGAGTAGGAGCATCATGGATGGGGGAATAAATTTAACGTCTCCACAACATCTAGGCCGGCAGGAAATAAAAAAACCCTAGTTCCTCCCACTCAAACGCAGCAATGCGTTCTGAAGCCGATCCCCCCTCCATCCATCTGGAGGTGTTTGTTTACCACCCTGTTTGCACAGCAAAAACAGCATAAAGAAGCAGAGCTTCCCTGCTTTTCATAGCACTTGTCCCAGAATAAAGGACAAGCTTTTCTTTTGTATGTAAAACTATCCAGATCTCACTCTAAGCATGTGATTATTACAAGATCACAACTCATATATGCGTGTATCTATAAATCTGCCCTGGCTATATTATTAAAGAAAACATACATAAAGCTTGAGATAAATCTTTTCTGTTTTGCTTAAAGGTTCTAGAAAAGGACTGCAAATTTTGCTCATGTCTCTGGATGGTCAGAAGGGGGCACACTATCCCAAATGTTCAAGAAAAAACTAAAATGTCTTACAATGTGACAAAGATCAGTTTCAAAAGCAGTTGTGGCCACACACGGCTCTCTTAAAGGAACACACTTAGGGAACAAATATGAAATCAGGAGCTAAAAAAGCCCATGAGCCGGACTGTGCTGCAAATGAATCTGACAGCTCCTGTTTTCCTGCTCTGATTCTTTCCTCCCCGTGTGATTAAGAGTGCATGTTTATGGGGCAGAGCCCACTGATCACTGAATCTCTATGGTGAGGTTCCACAGAATCTGTTGTATGATTCATGCTGACATACTGGGGCCTGATCTGGGCCCGACTCCAGCCTCATGGCTCCATCTGCTCTGGTTTTGAAGTAAGGATGAGTTGGAACAAAATCAATAGGCAGCCAGGATGAAGGCCAGGAATGATGGTGAACTGGCGAAACTGTCCATGTTGGATGAGTTTGCTAGACCAATTTATAAAGAAAACACTCAAAAAGGTTTTGTTCAGCATCATATGACAAAAACCTCAAAAATACCTTTTTTTAACAGAAATGTTTATGACAAAGTATTTCATTTATTATATCTATGTTTCAGTGAACCAGTTAAAGATGTCTAAGACAGAATTCCTGAGGCAAAGAAAGTTTTTTCTACTTTACACACGGCTGCCAACAATAATAAACCACATTAAACAAAGTTTTTGTATCTAATTGTTATGCTAAATACATATATTTCTTTTGGGGCTCTTTCTGTGAATAATAGATGCTGTAACTGTTTACTTTAAAGGGGTCATATGATGTTGCTAAAAAGAACATTATTTTGTATATTTGGTGTAATTAAATGTGTTTATGCGGTTTAAGGTTCAAAAAACACATTATTTTCCACATACTGTACATTATTGTTTCTCCTCTGAAACGCGTCGATTTTTACAAAGCTCATCGGTCTGAAAAGCGAGGTGTGCTCTGATTGGCCAGCTATCATGTGCGTTGTAATTGGCCGAATACCTCAAGCGTGTGACGGAAATGTTACACCCCTTACCATACTGTGATGCCTTGTCCCGGCCGGAGCGATGAGACAAAAACATTAAAACCCATTATAAACGAGGCATTTGCTGCATCCAGTGGGGACATAATTACGGATTATAATGACTTATACTGTCTTTTTACGTGTTGCATTGCATCGCGCCGCGTAAACATAAAACCATGTCTGCATTTGTGATCGGAGAAATGACAAACTAAACTCGCGTTTGAATCGTCAGTGGCAAATTCTTTAAATATAAAAAACGTACTTACAGTCTGTGAGTCAGAACAGCCGGCATTGTAGTCTACTCTACCAGGATCAGGAAACAGTTCTCCATAAAATGCGCTGGACACATCGGAATATTTGGGTTGAACTGTTCTGGAAAAGTGATATAAATACAACTTAACCACTGATTTCTAGTCGTGTCCTCTTTTGGAAGACCAAACAAAGTAGTTTCGCTTTCACAACGAAACACAGCGTCACATACGGCGGCTAGAGTGAGCAGCAGCCGGCGGCCTAGAGTGGACTCCACTTCGTCCACGGTGAAAGCCTATCCGGCGATCCACAGCGCGAAGTTGATGTATTTCTTCAGTGGCCAGCATGGATCAGCTCCAGGCATGACGAAGCAGATATCGTCCTCTTTTGGAAAGCCAAACAAAGTAGTTTC